GGACAAAGTCAGACCACCAGTGGACTGCGATATTTGCAGGAACGTGACGGAAGTTTCGAAAGTGCAGAACTTGGACCCGGAGAAGTTCTTCAGCAAGTGAGAATTCACAACTTTGTTGCGATACCGTGAAAAAAGTATTGATTCCTTATTTGTTAAGGATAGGGATAAATCGATGCAGTAAAATTCTATTTCTGTAGACTAATGTTGATCTACAGCTTGATAATTAAGTGTCCTCTCGCGGCTGATGGAAAATCAAATGCTTCGGGTGGATTTTCCGGATTAAATTTTCGAATTCTCGGTAAATTCAATTTTAAAAATTCCATATTCAGGTTCGCAATTTTTAGAAAATGAAACTGGCTCAATTTTAATGACATTGCTGAAAATCACAAAGCTAATTAAGGTGAATGATTCGTAGCAAAATCGAGTGATTCAATAAGTTTTACGATGAGGCGGTGTATTCGTCGTATGCCGCTTTATTCTTTCCTTGTTCATCAAGCGGTTCATTGAATAATGTCTGCTGATAATCCAAGCTAATAAGATACAGTACATACAATTGTATTGACCTTAAATAATTAGCAAATTTAAATCATATGTTCCGATTCGAAGTTTCATCGAAACAGGAAGGCCTGTCATCGTGATCGACGCCATGGACGATTGGCTGGCTGCGGAAGAATTTTCTTACGAATTCTTTCGGGACTTTTACAACGGAGGAGAAGCAGATTCGAATGACTTCTTGGACAAATTTGAAGACTCCGGGTGTCAATTTTTTCCATACAAAACCGAATTTCAATCACTTAGAGAGGTTTTCTCAATGGATGACGAAAGGGCTCGAATGGCTCCGGGTTACAAGCCATGGTACGTCGGCTGGTGAGTATACGAGTATACATTATATACATACTCGTGTGTTTTCGAAATCAATTAGGCTTGACTCAAACGATTTTAAATTTTAAGGCTGTGGTAATTCCGATGAGTAGCTTCGAATTTTTGCATTGCAAAAATACTCAGATTTCTAGATACAGTAGTACTGCATTATAGATTTGTAGTACAGTATTTTCGAATCTAATTCGACCGGTTTTTCGATTCCTCTGCTTCCTATGCATAAATTTTACGCGACTCACTCAAAAATTTCCCTTTAATCCCTGCGATCTGCAAAACTGCATTTGTAAAAAAGGACACAATTTCGAACATAAACATTTTCTTCTCTATGATGGGAGAATTAGGCTGTGAGTGTATCCGTGTACAGTATCTTTCGGTTGACTTATTGAAGACTTTTTTGGAATTTGTATAAATTCTTAATTTCAATGAAAATGTCGGTGGACACAGGCTCCGTAAGCCATTCAACTTTCGCACAAAGGTTGCCATACGTTTCAAGCAAAAAATACAATGGATCCTGTTCATTTTTACAGTTAAAATTTTTTTTTACATGTAAATTGAAAGTGTACAAAAATTTCCACGATGAACATGACGGACTCTGTCCCTGTATTTTTGATTGGCCCTCCCTCGTTTCATCCTGACTTGAGCTTTTTTTTACAGTTATCAAAGTACAGTATAGATACGCAATCATGATTCTGACGAGGAAAGTTTTTGAAACTCGAGAAATAAATTTAGGTGTTAATGAGCTATCCTGAAAATAAAAATGAAGATAAAGATTTTTGCATTTACTGTACTACACTGTGTATATTCATCAGCTTCATAAGCGTGCATAAAATTGATAACATTTTATTCAAATGCCTGGTGGCCAGTCATAGACAAAATATTAGTTTGGAAATTTTTGAGTGTTTTGCAGAAAATAAATTGCATTTTAAATTCTTAGGACTTTTGTAAATCATTTCATATTATTTCTCCCATACATGTACATAGGGGCAGCTGCGATTCGGAGGCGAATGAAATTCTCCGTCGATATTATCAAAGACCTTATTTCCTTCCAAAGACTTCCGAAAGCACGAAAATGGATTGGATTTTCATGGGAACACCTGGTTTTGGAGCTCACATGCACGTAAGGAAATCGATGTTTTTCTCATAATGATGATATTTCTCCTAATTATACTGCTGATAATAATCGCGAAAGTGACTTATATTAAAGTTTTAAAAAATAGTTGAATCATCGAACATTTTTAAAGTGGATTTTTAATTGCTATGAAACTATAAAAAACAGAAAATTTTGAAACTTAGTCAGAGGCTGCATTTAAACTTGAATATATGAAAGCTCAATAATTGAATTACCTAGAAAAAATGACGAACTGATTTTCTTCGCAAACTTTTCGTATTCCTTAGTATTTAGTCACGATCAGCTCTTGTAAAAATTTTCAAGTAAATAAATCTTGTTTGGCTTCGCAATAAATTTAGATGCTATACTGGACAGATTTGTCAATCATTCGAATTTTTGAAATCAAGATAACTAGATAAGGAATCTAACAGATTTAGGGCATACAATTCTCGATGTCATCTTTTCCATTTGCATTAAAAAATTCGTTTGCCCTAGAAATTAGAGAAAAATAGCCCTTGAATGTATGGGTCGATATTTTATCTTCAATTTGGCTTTACTGAGTACGTGAGTACATTATATACTGTATAACAGATCCGTAGATTTTAATCCGAAGTAGATTTTCTGGTGTATGCTATGGATGTCAGCATCAAAACGAATTTTAAAATTTTATCCAAAGATTGATCATGTCACAAACCCAAGTTGGCAAGCACAAATCAAGGGATCGAAAATTTGGTACCTTCAACCACCTCCCGAATGCTATTTCAGCTGCTCTGACATCGAAGTGTTGGTAACTTCTGGCGAAGTCAGTGAGTACTCCATTTTTACAATTGTTCGCTGTCCAAACAAAAATATGACCAGCATATATCCGGAGTATATATATATATATCACCTTGTTATGTTTAAAAAAAAGCCGCAAAACTAAGTTTTATATTAACTTTAATTCGCACGAAATCAGATTAAGTCTGAATAACGTTCAGGCTTTGTGTAAAAAAATAGTTCATTGGAATTTTAAAACCTTTTTTTTTTTCAGTTGTTCTGGACACCAACCGATGGTATCATGCGACTGCGGTTTCTTCTGCAGACATCAGCATCACAATTGGCTCAGAATTCGATTGAAGAAATCATATATTTCAAATTAATTCTTGAAGCTTTAATAAGGTTTCAGAAGAAAATGCCACGGTGAATAAAATACCACGGAGAGAAAATATCGCTGGAACAATAGTAAATTACCTAGTATATTACTGTACTCGTACATCATTTTTGATCGATTCAATAGTTTCAAATTGTATTTAAGGTTACACAATGGCTTGTTTTCTGTTCGAGATTTTCTGCTGGGTTGAATCAGAATTTATACTTCTATGCGTGTGTGTGTTTTTTTTGTATTCATTCTGTATTTCTTTTTCATTTATTCCAATTATAGAAATTTTTCGAAAAATTTTAACGCATCATTCGCGTTTAAACATGCCGTATTCTAATACGGTTTTAATTTTTAAGCGTAATTTATTTCTCACGTGCTATTTTCATTTGTCATTCAATTTTCTGTTCAAATTTTATCTCGCTTGTGTTTTTTCGAGTGGCATTTTCTCTGCCGTAATTTTTGGGTATCTGCGCAACTTTTCTTTTGACATTATTTTGCCTGGAATCAAATATGAACCAAACCGAATTTCATGACGTCTCTGTTTTCAAATGGAGCTGCGGGTTTATTTCATCATTGTATCCTTGATCACAATAAATACGAAAAAAGAATGGACAAATCATGTATCATAGTTGCTTCTCTTTCCAATCAAAATGCTGTAGTGTCTTTGTTCATCTCGGTTTTATAGTTACCAATCGCCAGGTCCGCGGATTCTAGAGCAGAGCCCAGTAGATCGTCCAGATCAATAATATCACCTTTGTCCGAGGTTCCGATCTGTAAAAGCTCGTCATCGAACAATCCATTTTCTCGTGCAATCTGAAAATGTTTCGCAATCCTGTCTTCGACAGAATCCTCGCTTCTTTTTGACATTTGTGACTCATTTTCCAATTCCTGCTGCTCATCGGGGGCATTCCAGACTGGTAACGATTTGGGCTTCAGAGTTTTTATCCAGATCTCTTCAGAGTTTCTCCGCTTCGGAACCATAGATGTCACTGTCTGTTTGCTTGCGGTTTTGTTTATTCTCACCGGCGGAGAAGATGTTTGTTTGATCGCTATCATGGTTCTCATATCTGTTGGTACTGTCGGTGCTGAGGATGAAGAGGTTTCAGAGCTTTTCAAAGGTTCCGTGGATGGTTTTCTGGTCGTGATGGTGGTAATTTGTGGCTTCGGTGCAGATGGTTTCCGAGGTTTAGTGCTGGGAGTCTTGGGTGTTGAGTTATTGGGAATCTTCGGTGTCGTGTTCGGCGGGATCTTGAACGTTTTCTTCTCCACTGTGATTATCCTGGGCTTGGATAACGGATCGATGATCAGAGTGAATTCCGCGGGTCTTACCTGATCCGCATCTAGTTTGGAAATTTTGACGTATTCCACGGGTTTCTCGCTTATTATTTTTGTTGCTGTGGTCGCTGCTAGAGTTTCAGCGCTGCTGAAAGATTCTTTCTTCACCGTGTTCAGGGTGTCTTTCAGAGTATTTGACAAATCCTGGAACGCCTTCTGAGAGTCTCGAGAAATATCTTCAAAGGTTTCCAAGTCTGCCTTTTGCCTTTCGAGTAGATCGTACAGCAAATCGAGTTCTTGCTGGGTCATAGACTCGATAGTCTTGGTTTCATTATTATCAGCATCATGCTGGTAAGGTATCATCATTGGCTTCCAGGAGTCGGTCTTCTCCGTTGCTGCTGGTTTCGGTTTCGGTTTTGATGTTGGGTTCTGCTCAAATAAAAAAGTAAAAAGCCGGAAATGTAAAAATTTTGATGTATTCATGCACAATTTATGACAAGAAAAGGTGTGACCGTAGTCATTATGTATAATTGCACAACATCGATGTCGTTTGAAATGAAATATTTATACATACTCCATGGTTATAATTTGCAAATATTTCAACTGACCAACCAAAATGGATTTTCAAGATGTTTCAATTAACCGTAATAATTTATAACCAAGCTGAACTTCTCAATATAACTGAATCTTTCATATTCTCTTTTTGGAAGTTCATTTGTCCGAATATATGGGTTTAAATTGAGAAAAATACAAGAGTCTCGAGAAATATCTTCAAAGGTTTCCAAGTCTGCCTTTTGCCTTTCGAGTAGATCGTACAGCAAATCGAGTTCTTGCTGGGTCATAGACTCGATAGTCTTGGTTTCATTATTATCAGCATCATCAGCATTATGCTGGTAAGGTATCATCATTGGCTTCCAGGATTCGGTCTTCTCCGTTGCTGCTGGTTTCGGTTTCGGTTTTGATGTTGGGTTCTGCTCAAATAAAAAAGTAAAAAGCCGGAAATGTAAAAATTTTGATGTATTCATGCAGAATTTATGACAAGAAAAGGTGTGACCGACATGATGTATAATTGCACAACATCGATGTCGTTTGAAATGAAACATTTATACATACTCTATGGTTATAATTTGCAAATATTTCAACTGACCAACCAAAATGGATTTTCAAGATGTTTCAATTAACCGTAATAATTTATAACCAAGCTGAACTTCTCAATATAACTGAATCTTTCATATTCTCTTTTTGGAAGTTCATTTGTCCGAATATATGGGTTTAAATTGAGAAAAATACAGTACAATTTAGAGGCTCAATTAAAAATTTTCATGTGTTACTTTTCACAATTTTCCCTATCCTTTGATTCTTTTTTCTGTCAATGACTGAAAATTCTAATGCAGTAAATTGTTTTTTTGCCTAATTAAACTTTTATCATGACCTGCATTTTTTAGTGATACCTATCCCAAGTGGGGAGCTATTTTTGCTGTGACCCCACAGTAGGTGCACACCAGGGTCACAACTGGTGCATATGGGATACTCTGGCTTTACAAGTGTGCACTGGTGTAGAGGATATTCTGCTACCGTTCCAGGGCTACACTTGGTGCACAAATGTGACAGAACAGGTGTAACACACAAATGCACCAACTGAAACCTTGGTGGTGTAACTTATTTGTTTACAAATGTGACCCTGAGTAATCCTGGCGTGAACACACAATTGGTGCACATTAGGAATATGCATGTGCAACAGAAGATCTTTGGTACACCTCAGGTGCACATCAAGGTCACTGTGTAGAATTAATAACATATCCCAGTGTGCACCAATTTCCCTACTTGGGTATCCTGTAATACAGTAACAACTATACATTAACTTCAAGGTTGGTCACACTTATGGTGGTTAGTCACGTACTGTAACAGCACCCAAAGTTGTGCTGCCCTCTGTTGTTGTTGTTGTTGCTGCTGTTGTTGTTGTTTCCATTGTTGTTGTTGTTGTAGAAGTGGATGATAAGAATGTTGGCCTGGGTTTTTCTCGTTTTATAATTCCTTGAGAAGCACTTTTCTTTGGTACCTGCTTTTCAGGTTCTTGCTCATCAAGCTCATCCTTGAAATCTCTGTCTTTGTCTTCCAAATCACTGGTACCTTTCGTACTTTTAATCTGCACCTTCGCCTTAGTCACTTGCTTTGTCATTGGCCTCAAAGTCGTCGCATTTGAATCTTTCGTAATGATGATCAGTCCAACTGAATGCTCTTCGGGATCCTCGGGATCCTCCTGATGATCGTTATTGCTTCCCGAAAACCCAGATGATTGCCCGAGAGACGATCCGTCGAAAGTGAGGTATCCGGAAGATGGCTCCACCTGATGTCTTTTGATGAAAGTTGTTCGTGGTGGAGGTGTGGTCAATCGTGCTGTCGAAGACGCGACATCTTGCGTCGGGATTTGAGTAGCGAATGAGGAGAAATGTTTGCTTGGCGTGGAAGGAATCGTAGGCTTCGGGGTTGTCGGTTCATTCAAGACTAGGACGGTTCCTGGTGTGGACTGCATAAGCCTTTCTTCCACCTCGGACTTGCTGCCAAAATTGGCTTGATTTGGATTTGCTGCGACTCCCAGGGACATGGCACCTGCATAATCAATGCATAATGTGCGAACAACTTGAAAACTTTTTGATTAACAAATGTTTGCTGATCAGCAAAAATGAAAAAACTCAAATTCGGTTACAACAACTTTCACAGATATGCACTTCATGTGCACAAAAAAAAATCAGCAATGCACTTGAATGCAAAAATTGAAATTCTGTCACCCAGTAAACTGCCAAACATAAGCACTTCTGTGTATTTCCTTATTTAAATACTTGGTAGAACATTTATAATTTACTCTTCTCTGTAACTACATTTGGACTTTGCCAACTGAAACCTCAATGAGTCTAAAATATCCCTAAACTTTAATTTCTGTTAGTCTTCAACTGAATTTCTTTTGAACTGTTTAATCTAAACCTGGATAAGTCAAAGACTTCCCTGCCTCTCAAGCCTCTCTCTCTTGAAATGAGGTTTTTGGTCATCATCCTGGGGACCAAGAATACGAAAGAACAATAAACAAAGGTTACAACTTTTTATATTGAGCTTATGGAAAAAAACATCTGTATATTTCCGGTGCAATTATCGGTTCCTTGTTCTTTCAAGATGTTTAAAAAACTAGATAAAATTAACATTTCTCTAATAAAATAGCATTGAAGGGTGAAAATAATTTCTAAAGGAACAAGGAGGCCTTACATTTCTTGTTTGAAAGCAGTACAGTGTTGCCTCAGAAAAAAATATATTGTGTATTCAAGCACCATAAGAGAGTTTACACGTTTCCGCGCGGACTTAAAATTACTGTACATGAAAACCAGGGTTTTTTTTTAGAACATTTTTACATTTTTACTCATGCTCAGTTTCAAGATGCCAAGAGGCTGGGCTGACACCATCTCAATGTGATCACTACCAATTTGTAAATACTTCTCAGCCCTTTTGATCCATGTGTTGAAACAGGCCTTGAAATGTTCAGTTGCAAAATTTTTAAGCTCTTCCAGAACAGCAGCAACAAGCTGATCCGCGCGGAACCGTGTAACCCCTTGCATGTTTTTTGTACAATTTGTTCATTATTTCTCGAAGACTCTATGCAAAATTATGATTCATATATATAAACGCAATTACGCTACAATGTTTTGTTCTCATGCAAAATCCCTCAACAAAAGGTTGTTCTACTAGAGGATATTTGCCGTAGTCAACGGTGTATTTACTATATGAGATTGATACATCTGTAAATTAAAATTCCTTACCTTGGATTCATCAAATGGTTTTTAATTTAATTAAAGTTGAGAATTTGTTTTCTTTTTTGAAGAAATATGAAAAAATATATGCAGTTCAGTGAGACCCCCTCATGCGGACACCTCAACATGGGGACATTTATTTTTTAATAAAGAATCATAAAAAGGCCCAACATATGGACACTGACTCAACATGAGGACATTGCATGAAAAAATTGTCAATTAAATTTTAGGAAAATTGACTTTTATTAGGCTTAATTGCAAGAAACAGATATTTCCAACCCTGAGATCTATGCAAAAAAAATTCTTTGGTACTTTTCCCATCAGTTTCCCATCTAATAAGCTAATTTAAAAACATTACCTATAGCACAGAGGGACTTCCTTCTCTCTTTGTGACTTGGATGTTAATTTTACAGATGCCACCATTTCAATGAACTGTTCAGTGGTGTACTATTCAATGCTCCAAATGTTCTTATTGGTTTGAAAAGATATTCACTGAATCAATTTCAAGTGGCTAACACAAATTCTTTTTCATGAAATTCTGAAGAATATTTATTTTATAAAACACTAAATAAAAATTATATAATGTAAATCTTCTATGGGAAAACAAGACTCAACTTAGGGACAATTCAACTTAGGGACACTCTTGATGCACCAATTATGTCAACATCTGGGAGTTCACTGTATTTACCTGCTGCTGTAGAAATAATCTCC